TGAGAGTAAAGATATAAATTACGGAATTTAGAAAAAAGCGAGATTAAATTGCAGATGGAATATTGACGCAATGAGAAATTATTGTTATCATTAAATATCATTACTGAGATAGTGAAATTGAAATAAAAATAATAATAATCAAATATCAAATAATTCTTAAACAAATGCTGCTTAGCACAGAAGCATCAGCACGGAGAAAACGGCAATAAGCGTCCACTTACAGCGTCAAGTCCAAGTAGTACAATGGCCTGTATAATGTCATATCTCGCGACTCCCCATTGATCCCTCAAGTTCGACGGTATTTGCAGGATTAATGCACGCCGAAAATTTCGTCTCCGAATACCCCTCGCGGCTCTCCATTGCTCTCCCGAGTTCGCCGAAATTCACCGAGTCAATGTGGAATCTCGGCATCACGGGGGAGATTTCGCGCGCGTGGAAAATATTGCGCACTTACATCCCTCCCGTCCACCAATTCAACCTCCATCACTAACGGTAACGCATTTTCGCTCTGCTCCGTTTACTTTTTATTGGACGGCGATTAGCGTGCGACGGTACGGCGGCGCGCGGACGTAAATATGTCCGGCGTTGATTACTCGAGAATGACGGACAAAGTAGCAATCATACGCACGGCTCGTCGGCGGAATGGAAAGGGCCGAATGTGGCCGAGAGCGCGTCGAATGAGTCGAAGTGCGGCGGCCGGCGTATTTAAAATCGCGGTTCATCCAATTTCGTCGTCGTCGGGAGCATTAATGCAAATAGCGAGCCGGCAACGAGAGCCCGCCGTGTTCCGCGCGTCCTCCGGACCGTATCCGGCAAAAAGAAATTGTTCGTGGCCTTAGGCGCGCGCGGGCAACGCGCACGCCGCCGGCGAACCGGGCGGTTTTCGCTCGCGCGTTTTCCGCCTTAATTAACGAGGTTTCTGTAACGAGCGGGGCCGCCGCTCGCCGCCGTTTATCTCGTCGTGGTCAGTTCAAAGCGGCCGTTATTACGCTGACTCGTCGTGCGTGAGCGACTCCACGGCGACTCGCCTAAGCGGAGTAACACGGTAAAACGGAACGGTCGAGATGTTAATTACGATTACGAGCCGGCGAGATAGGGAACTCGCTCGCTCGCTCGCTCGTTCGAGCGCGCGCACGCCCGCGAGGCTGCGCGCCGGTGCGTTTCGCGCCCCGGCGAACCTAATCGATGGAAATTTTATAGCCCGCCGCTCACACTGCCATTAATATCGATGATGTAGCTACTCGCACGTCTAATAACTAATCGCGCCGAGGTGATACACGCGATAACGGCGGGGCGGCATCTGAGCTCTCGCCGGTAGTTCGCGGCGTTTTAGATTTTCGTGGCGTCTCCCTGCCCTCTCGAGCACACGAGACGGCGTCGCGGCTCCTCGTGATTTACGCCAACGCGATAACGCGATGCGCGTATATGTTAATTACAGGAATAAATAGCGGATTCGCTCGTGCCCGCTAATACCGCTAATGGAAACCGCGCGTCCGTAAATCTCCCTACCTTCCCGCGCTGGATCGAACACTCGATGTTGCGGAATCGATCTTGTCGTCTTTCGAGATTTCTCCCTCATCGCTTCTTTTTCTCTGTTTTATAAGCGCTCTTTCACGTTATACGCGGCTAAATCTTGAAACAATCTCCTTCTTACAGTTGGGAACGTGCATTTAGAGACAATTTCTACTCTTTCTCGCTTGAACGAAGCAATTGAGTTTAGGATCATAACATCAATCACTTTTGCTTTATGGCAGGTGGAATGGCTGCTGCCTCGGTCTTCTGACTCTCTCTCTCTCTCTCACTCTCTGACATCTCGATATCGGTCGATCTTGTTGAATGTTATATTTTTTATTTTTCATTTTCTTTTAATTTTTTCTTTCATATAATTGCTAGCATATTTTATATATTTCAAAGCTAACTCTTTATAAAGCAATTATTTACCACATGAATTATTATCTACCCATCTTTATACGGCTATTATCGTAAGCCGAAAAAAAGCGTTAGATTCAAGTAAGCAATACTCTTTAGTAAATTTTTACTTAGATTAAATAAATTTTACTTGGATAATTTACTTAGGAAATATTTCACTTGATCGAAGAAATGTTACTTGTATGATCCAAGTAAAAATTTGCTAAGGAGTATTGAAGTAATGATTTACTTGAATCTGGCATTTTTTTCTGTGCGTGAAATTATATTTTTTCTTGAATGCGCTTAAGGAGATTGTATCTCAGAGTGCGCAATAACTCCCTCTTTCCCTTTTTCATTTTGGATTCGCGAGATCGTGAGGACGCGAGGAGGCAAGAGTCTCGAGGATAAAAACTCACCCTTTTGGATGCGGGATCTATGGGAGCCGGGGAGAAGGACCGGGACGGCCTCGGGCGGTTTGTCTCGGAGGAAGGCCGTCGGCATATGCGGCTCGCGTGCATCGGCGCGACCATAGGATCCACGAGGTAACAGGTGCAGATGCGGAGGAAGCCCGATCGTTAGCCCGACAGCCCGCGGTGCATGTGTGCCTATTATGATTTCTTTCGTAATTAGTCTCTCTCTCTCGCTCCCGTGTCTCGAGATACGTGTATTCGGGCGTACCTAACATTTGTTTCGTTGTATGCGCGCGGCTCCCGGTAACATGTGCTACCACCGTGGTCGTCCTCTGGTACGGCTAGCTGTCGATGGGCCCTCCTCGACTCTCTTACGAGCGAGGATACGGCGGCGGTTGACAACGCGACTTTCTGCGCCCCGCCTTCTCCGCGCGGAATGATCCTTCGAAGGAGAATGCGTCGTTTGAATAAATTTCAGCGGAAAAGTGGAGACGGACGCAACGATCATCGCGACAAGTTGAACAAACGAGCGATGCGCTAATCGGCGTTTCATCAATCATCGACGCTTCGCACAAATCATCTCGCGCTGTTGTCGCTCGTGTCACACGACGTTCCGACGTCGAAGCGCGCGTGTAAGTCCATCAGGGTGGAAATCATTCGGGCGTAACGTCTCGCCTCGCGAAACGTCCTGCATTCGTCCTGAAATCGTCTTAGCGGTGTCCCATATTCCGATCCATCTTGAAGCAAAGTTGCAGCTTCGCGCGCGACATAACGAGACAGCGTCGGGCTTACCTCGTCGTCGTGAATATTTCGACCGACCGATTGATCGATCGACGAGCGGTCGGTCGACGCGGCGGAGCTCCAAGATGGACCGGGTTCTTCGTCGTGTCTACCTTATGCGAGTATATACCTGCATATACATAGAGTTCGTGCACATGTATACACGCGCGTATACATATATACGTATGAAGCCAAATGTATGTATATACACTGGAGAAAGCGTCTTGGCGAGGGATTTCGCAGAGGGTTGGCTGTTTGCGCCTCTCGACAAATAAGGGGAAGTCGTTATCCCGTGGATGGGAGGAGTAATTAACTGCTTCTACCTCCTTTCTGTCCGCTTCACCTCCCTCCCAGCATCCCCCCTTTCCGGCTTCGGCTTCTACTCGAAGGAACAGACTTAAGGAGGCCCGCTTAGGCTTTCACGGGGTCGTGTCTTCATTATTCACGCTAATCTGCTTTCGCCTCGTGCTGCTGCCACCGCAAACCCTCCTTGGTGCTCTCTCGTCCTGTTTCTCTCTCTCTCTCTCTCTCTCCCTCCCTCTTTCTCGTTCTCACTCGCGTCTGTCTATCTCATAGAGGGAGAGAGAAAGAAAGTGTGCTTTGCGGAAATTATATTATATTATTATAGTAAACGCAAATTGTGAAACGAATGGCACGTGCTGGATGATGATACGCGTCCGGTGTCCTCGGACTTGATAAAATCGCACGAGATTTTACGCGGAAGTAAAGTTGATACCTGATCCTACCGGGCATTACACAATTTACTCAAACATTCTTCAAACAAAATATTAACATGTTTAAATGCGTTAACATTTTTTTAAAGAATTTTAAAATGAATTTTAACGCTCATACGATAACGGTTATCTCATGGACTAAATATCAACTTTATTTGTTATTGTTTGGAGCCAGATCTAAATTTCTTTACTGCGAACATTACAATCTAGCATGTTAACTACGTATAACATATGCACGCAGATTCAAATATTCCCAAATTAGTTTACAACATATAAAATAAAATATCGCGTGTGAGTATCGCAAAATGACGTATCGTTGAAAAATATTCGATCGTTTACAAAAAGTCGGAAAGCATCAAGTTGCTGGAATTCGAAAAATAAAAAGACAAGAGAAGCGCGCTCGTTAATTATCCGTTGTCCTGGTAGATCTGTAATGAATCTGTCGGGATATTAATCGATAACCCGGTAACCGGAACACGTGTAAGTGCAACCAACATCACCGTGTATATTTTACATTTTTACCGCGGACCACCAAGGTACACGGGCGCCCTGCGGTGCTCGCCAAATTATGATGAATTGTTTTCTCTATTAACAGTCTGTGCCGACAGAGGCGAGACGCGGGCACCCCGACCGAGATAATCTTCCACCAATTTCGACTTCCTCGATTGATCATGGCAGTTCAACGAACGGCTCATCCGAACGACCAGTCCGGAACGAACGAGCCAAATCATCTTTCTATCCGAAGGAACTTTCTCTTTATCACGCATTTAAAAATGACAATGTCGAACTTGGTTTAGCGATAGAAAATTGGTCTTTCTTCATTTCAATCTAATTTTGCCGCAAATTACTGCAGTAATCTATTAATAATTATAAACAGGACGAATGGAAGAATAAAGTAATAATGTCTACTCGTACAAACTCCATACTAGAAGAAACAATGTTTGAATCAACTACATAAGATTAACTATTAGAAAAATGATCAATTATACAAAATACAGTCGTAAATACAGTCTGCACCTTTGCATAGAGTTCGCTATGTATGCATGTTCGATATACTTCTGCTCGCTGGTCCATGCGACCATCCAACTGAAATAACAATTGTTCAAGACAAAGACTCCTGTTCCTTATATAATCGTACGAAGTAAAGGCATTTGTTTTATTGTTTGAATTAAGTTTGCATCGTATTATATTTGTCGTTGATATAGTATCACTGAGATATTGGTCTACACCCAGCAGTAATGTTATTGTAAAAATAGGCGTCAAGCACTTGGGATTAAACTATTTAATGTAGAAATGCCTCCAAGCTAAAGGGAATAGGAAACATGTGTACTTCTAAAATGAGGCAGACACATGGCTGAAAACGTAAGTGTTATGAAATACTATGTATTCCTGCTATGCAACACTTTCAGGGAAATTTCTGCCGCATGCCCTTTTTTACATTCTATTACAGCATCATACTCTTCACGATGTAAATGCACAATTTAAGTCAAGAACACACTGTACCAGTTTTTGTATTTTACTGCGGCAAATTGAGCAGCACATTTTGGCCTGGCGGTAGGTACGCCACTTGTCGCGACTTGGACAAGTTGTGCGCAATGTCTTCTGCAGCTTCGATTCTCCTGAGCTCGACGAGACCTTCTCCCGCCTCAGCGAGAGACTTTGCTAACAAACTCGCAGCCTGTGCATCACCCTCAGCGCTGATAACAGCTGCTTTCTTCTGTTGCTCAGCCTTTTCTACCAGGAAACGAGCCTTCTCAGCTTCTTGCTGCGCCACTTGCTTCAATTCCACAGCTTGAGTAAACTCTTTACCAAATGTCAAGTGTGTCTGAAAGAATTTCAAAATTAATTATCAAAGTGTACGCAAGCCATTTGAAATCTACTCGAACATTAACACGAGTGTAATATCAATGTACTTACGATAGAGATATCATCTAGAATGAGGCCGAACTGCGAAGCTCTGTCCATAAGGTCTTCGCTGACCTTTTGAGACACAACCTCTCTTTGAGTGATTAATTCACCAGCATCAAATTGTGCGACAACAGCTTTCAGTACTTCAGTAGTGATAGATGGCAGTACCCTTTCATCATAGTCCACACCAAGGATTGTGTATATCTTAGGTAACGAGTCGGGTACAGGTCTGAAGAGAATACGGAGAGTAATATTTACATTTTGCAAATCTTTGCTTCCTGTAATGACCGGGACATTTCGTGGCCGTGAACGGATGTCGAAGATAATTGGTTTCTGCACCCAAGGAATGAAAAAGTGTGTTCCCTCTCCAACCACGAGATTTTTTATGCCCGCAAATCTGTCAAATATAACAGCTCTATGCCCTCCATCGACTGTAAACCAAGATGACAGTATTAATTTAGGGAAATACAATGTAAAACAGGCCATATATAGATCATATACAGAAAAGGTTTCGGACTTACCGTTGTATAGTGCAGAGTTAAGAACACCACCTGCGAGAGCTACACCTAGACCAAGCTGGCCTATTCGGTTAAAGAATTGGGCTGCCATGTTGAAATGTGTGCTAGCTGCAAAACGCAAAATGTATGTTAAGTGATACAATAGATGATGTAATTCGATACAACAGTGTTACAATTACTTGCTAATGGTCGTGACACTGTTCTAACCTAAAACTTAGTAGCGAATTGCATCTAATGCACGGGATCTCAAGTGCAACTAAATAATATGTATATGTTAACAATTACAAACGCTCTACTACTGCATATTATATTTTTTTTCTAAGCGATAATAAAGTACAGGTCAACCGGTCGATTTGGAAATTTATTTCGCCGATTTCACATTTTCAATGCCGTTCACATTTTCGCATTACATATTGTCATGAGACGAAGCTACGGCTAACGGTTATTGTGCTTTCTAGTAATGGTACAGTCGGCACTTACGTAATATATCGTGGCTTCAGGATTGAAACTGGAATCTTTTTCACCTCGTGCGGCGTTCACGCGGCGACTACGATGATAAGGAGAAAATGGCTACCACAATAATTCGAAAATGGAGCAGATGAAGGCGCCACGGCGGCCAGTGGAACTTCGCGCGGCCATTTTAAAAATCTGGCAACGGTCGGCGACTCACAAAGATGCGTTCAAAGACGCGCAATTGCATTATATCGCAGATAAGCGAATGTATCGCACATTGTTGTAATCGTATTCGTACTTATTGAATTCAAGGTGCAATTATTAAAATATCGCAAAATTGAGATCAATGTCGCCTCGAGTATGTGAGCAAATTTATACTTCGCTCAATAAGATACTCGTTGGGTATCAGCTGAATTTTATATTTGTGCTATTAGGTCAAATTCGTGAAAGGTCATTGCTGAAAATATTATATGGCAGAAACCAACTTTGTTGACGTTGCAATTATAATGTGATGAAAAAGAAAAAAAAGCAGACGCCCCCGGGTGGGCTCGAACCACCAACCTTTCGGTTAACAGCCGAACGCGCTAGCCGATTGCGCCACGGAGGCAACTCGATGGTGGCATGATTTTCTATACTGACATTCGTAACAAAGTATAAAAAATTTTTCTCAAATAATCAACATTTATTTATGGTATTTTGACATCCCCCGACAAATTGTTTTAACGTGTGACGTTAAATATATGAAAATATTCCTCCGATATGAAAAATATTGATTAACAATATCTTTAATTTGATTGATACATTGACAGTTCCACAGTCTCGATAAATATTAAAAAGACGAGATAAATATTGTTTTGATGTTACAATGACATAATACTTTGCATATGAACCCGTTATCTCATCGAGTCCCGCAATGTAATTTTTGCGGAACTATTAAATAGCGTTTTATACGTGTATCAGCGAGCTGTGTCACATTAATGATTGCGGAAAAATGACTCTCTCTCTCTCTCTTCCTCTCAGTACTAGTTTCAGGCAACTCTATGATACGTCCCCAATTAACAATACAAATAATAGGACGAAAAGAACTATAAGATGTAGACTAAAAAAAATACGTACTGCCGAAACAATATCACTTTGTCAAAAATAGGCTATTCTATAACGAAGAAAGGCCTCGCGAGCGCATTCCCGGGCCGTCAAGACTCGAAAAAAGACTCGACGTGTGTCGACAAATGTCGATATTCGCGGTAATGCAGCGACGTATCGACGAGGTTTCGCAACGACGATATTTCGTTACGACTTTCGTTATTTATGCATGAAAAAAATAATAACCGAGCAAGCGGCCGTTATCGAGGATATCCCGAAACGTCTTGCGGGTCGAAGAGGTGCGCGAAAAGCAAATGCACGTGCGTAACTTGAAAAATAAAGGTTTATTGTGCGTAAGTTTCTCTTTCTGCTTCTTCGACATCGCCATTTGGCTGCGTTTCGAATCATCTGACAAAGGTGAGAGTTACGTCGGCAAGTCTAGAAAAGTAGTGGCATTCGTTGGACTTGGCTCTAAACGGGAGGAACGAAGGCCCCCGTGTGGATTCAAATAACGTTAGAATTTAAAGATGTGCGGTGTAGATCTTGGGCATCCTCTCTTTGTGTGTGTCGTCCATGTGTCCGCACACGCCGGTCACGCGACCCTGCAACACGGTCTCCACCATCACGCTTACGCTGTTGGGGGTCCACAGTACCATCACTGGCACGCATTGCGACTGGACTACGAGGTGCTCGTTGTGCATGGTGACCCTATGAAGAAATACGCCTTGTTAGGACGAAACCATAGTGTTTTTAAAAGATCGGAAAAATCCGCTTTCTTTTCCAATTTTCCGGCTGTTCCTTTCGGTTTCTTTCCGCAAATGTTTGGAAAAATTGGGGGGGGGGGGACGGATTTTTCGAACTCTCCACGGATTTTTTCGGTTTCTTTCCGAGCAAAAATTGAAGAGGCGGTTCTTTCTTTTAAACTATAGATAAAACCGTTCGAACTGGCCGACCGGTAGATCGATGGACCATTCGCGAGACACTTACTTGAACGCGTAAGATTTCGGCTCGTCCTCGGGCACCATCACCCCCTTCTCGTGCTGGTCGATCACGTTTCCGTCGACGGTAACAATGTGATTAGGACCGGTCGGCGTGATCTCCATCTCGTGGCCGGCGATGTAGATCTTCACGGCGATCATGTTACCTTGCACGGCCTTCGCGAAGATAGCGTACGTCTGGTCGACGTGATCGCCGGACACGAGGGTCCATTGCTCGGGCACTGTGAATGGAATCACTCCGCTGTCCAAGGTGATCAAGACCTGCGGGTAGACGGTACAGATCTCTGCGGGCAGAAGAGAAGCACAAGCTCGGTTAAGCCGCGTGAACCGTCGCTCATCTTTTCGATAATCAGAGATTCTCTATGAAGAAAAATGTCTGATCACAGGCGATCGAATATAAGCGAGATTTTCTATAGAACAATAAGACGGTCTCTTTTTCTCTCGCATAAAGTCTCACTTTCAATAAAAAAAGAATCTCCGATTATATAGAATATATACGAAATGTGTGAAGAATGTTCTTCGAGACGAAGAACAGAAGGGAAATAATACCTAAGATTTAATTTATGACTCTCGAAATAACCATTGGGTGTTAAAGAGGAAACCGTTTACACCCGGTGCGCCACCGGGGACGACTTACTGGAATTTCCCTGCGTTATTTTGTCCAAAACGCCCGTGGAGAAGTGGGTGTTGTCCATGACGGTGTGCCATCCTGAATGCGGCGTCGTTTTTCCCATGACCATGCCTTCGAAGAGGCGTTGATGCGTGGGAATTTCAAGGTATTCGTATCCCTTGACCGGAGTGATGACGGTTACATTGATGTGCTTCAGGTCGGAGGGGAGCTCGATCATGAACTTCGCGTTGCCGCTTTCGACGCGTTCGGTAAGGTATTTCACGTGCGACAAGTACATAGCGCGGATATAATCGTCGATCCTGGCGAGATGCGTGTACAGGTACACAGGCAACTGAAAGCCACCGAGTTATTTCCGCGATATACACGTGAACGTTGACGCAATAAATTCATGTAATAACGAACGTATATATACACCGAGATTCGTCAGCCATCTTTTTCCTCGTTTTTACCTTCTTGTAGGATACGTTGACGGTATACTTCCTCATGGTTGTGTACAGCACGGTCTCACGGATGCAGTCGGGAGTCTTGGGAATGTGATTTTCCTTCTCTACGAAGTGTGGGTTCGCTATGTCCTTGATGCAATCTCCGTGCACAGTGTCGCGCGCCATTTGGCTCTTCTGTTCCTCCGTCATCTCGCCTTTCACCGCCAAGGTGATCAGCATCTCGTCGCGGACGCATTTGTCTTCATCCGTGTAACCTGCGGTGATGGTCATTTTCGAGTTGGTCTCCACCTTGCTGTTCGTGTTTTTCGGGTGGTAGACTTCCGTCTCCGAATAATTCTTCTGGGCGTCTAAGCAGATCTAGAAAGTAGAGATCGTGTTCGTGATACCCTACCGTTGATCGATTCGGTCGATCGTAAAATTATCGTAATTAAGCCGAAATGATCAGGCGCACCTTGAGCTTCTTCTCCCCCGGCGTTATTCGCGTCAATTGAACCTTGACATTGTTGGACATGTGTCCTTGAGACAGGTCGACATTCACGTTCACGTCCCATGAGCGTACGGACTCGTTCGTGGAAGCCGCTTTAGCATCGAGGGTGCCGCGAATGTTGATCTTGTTCCCGTTAAGAACGTGCATCTTCTCGTGAACGCGATCGAGGTCTTCCATGTTGACTCGTACGTTCAGGTCGACCTACAGAGGAAGGATCATAGGGGAGTTAAGGAAATGGAGATTCTTTCTCTCCGATCTTCGGGAGCCTTCGAGTACTCACATGCGATGTAGGATAGATGATGCTGGGCTCCATCTTTATCATACGTCCGCAGCTTCCCATTTCCGGCGAGATGTAGTCGTAGACCAGTTTCTGGTTGAGGCCCATGAAATATTGCCATATTTTCGAGCCCCTGTCGAGCAAATTAAAATGTGATAATTACACACGCACGATCAATTATTTATTTGAACACGCAGAATATGAAATATGATACGAGTAGGCTGGACGAATTTCTTCCGGGTCCATTAGAGCTTTTACCTTTACGATGGCCCACCCCAATCGTTCAAAATTGAACGAACAATTCGTTATATCCGGATTGTATTTCAATTTACGACAAATCAGATTGATTCTAAAGTTCTTCCCATAACTGACGTTGGTTTTAGCAAAACGGTTTTTTAAATAGAAATATGTCGACAAATAGGATGTGTATTCCATAGGAGAAGACTTTACGGAGTCAACCTATTAGAGTCAAAGAGAAAGACCAAATCGATCATTATCGATACAAGCGGAATGTCACAGCTCGGTACTGGCGACTTACCAGGTGTTCTTGTTCTCCGGAGAAAGCGCGCGCCACCATTCTTCGGTGTCGGTGACCGGCGTGACCTTGCTGTCGCAGTCGAAGATCGATGTGCTGTACCTGAGACCGAAGTCCTTGGAGTCCACGGCGGAGATGTAGTTCTTCTTTTCACCGGTGGTGACGACCGTGTGATGCTGGCAGGTGGTGCAGCATTCCTTGAGCACGTCTTGCTCGTCGTCGGTGATAGTCACTAGGTTCTTGGCGTGGAATCGCATTCCGCTGTGGGACAGCTTGGTGGCCGGTAATCTCGGCATGCTGATCTTGACACTCTTGGCCTCATGGTTGTAACCGAGGTACATCTCCACCGGTAACGCAACGTCCTCGGTCGTGGCTCTGCGTATCGAGTGCCAAACGTCGACGATCGGGTTGTAGACCGACATGGCGTACTCGCCGTGTGTCCACTTGCGCGTGTCGACCTCGATCTTCGTGTTCACGGACGGGCCGTCGATGCGAACGTTGTTCAACCTCAACGACATCAGGAGCGGTATCTTGGTGCTGAGGACCGCCTGCAGACCCATATCGGTGGGTACTTGCATCTCGTAGAAGTAGTGATACGTGATGTCTTGGAAGTTGCCGACAGAATGAGTCACGACGCGATACAGTTCCTGGGTCATCTTGTTGATTTGAGTGTGGTCGTAGTGCTCGGCGAAGACCACACGACCGTGCTGGGTGATGCAGATGTCGACGTGGATGTTTTTCTTAGTCGGCATGTCATGCGCGGCGCGGCTCAGGATATTCTGTACGTTCTTGTTGGAGAGATGCTCGATTTTCGTGCCCATCAGCTCTTTCTTCACGATCTTCATGATCTCGTCCATGCCGTAGACGCTCCAGTAAATCTAGAAGGAATCCGTCAAAGTGCAATGCTACCTACTTACGCCATTCTTTCCGTGTTCTGCATAAAGATTTGATTATATACCCATATAAAAAGAGAAATTGAATATTTCTACTTCAATTCAATTTAACAACGTTTTATGTACTTATATATCACGTAATTTGATATATTTCTATTTCTAATTAAACATAAAATTATAAATATAAAGATAAAAATACATTGCACACTTTTGTGGGTGTCGTTGATATTTCGTGTGCCGAAAGTTTCACGTTAAAAGTGTACTTTCAATACTCACGCCAATCTTGTCGGTGGGTCTGCGAGCGATCGATGTGTAAAGTTCGACATATCCGGCGTGCGGCAATCCAGTCAACTCTTCCAAGATCAACGCGTTATTCCAAGATACGCCGTGTTCATATACAGGGTCGACATAATCGTAGAAATGCTTGGACGACAGTTGGGTGGTAATCGGCCTGATTCTCGTATAACGTATGAACTTCCTGGCCATTTCGCGAATCGGCCTGAGACAAGGGTCCACGGAATTGGCGAGACCCTTCAGCGTGGTGAGGTGGTAGTTGTACAGATGATTGTTCTGTTCGTAGACCATGAGCCAGTAGATGTTCATCAGTCGTTGCGTGTTCGGCAGCTGGCTCATCAAAACGTCATAGGCCGTGATCCTGATGGAGAGCGCTTGGGTGGTATCAGCAAGGATAGGCCACAGCAGAATGTGGGTGTACTCGACCTTGTTGGCGACGGCCTTCTTGATGGCCCAGATGGCCTGTACACGAATGTGATGCGGGTGTTCGGACACCATAATCTCGCCCTTGATGATTGGCTCCAAGAGCTTCTCGATGTTGCCCACTTGGACGTTCTTGATCGCCATTAGATAGACTATCTTCATATCGTACGACTGGTCGTCTGGAACATCCCGAAAATCGGGAAACGGTTAAGCCGACCCAGGACAAACTGACTGAATCGGTAAGATTCGCTTTAGGAAGGTAAATCCTAAGCGAATCCCGGAACTTCATAATCCATTTGGAGTTCCATTCGACTTACTCTTGACATGGTCGAAGAAACGATGAAGATATCTGTTGAGCAGAGGGTTGACAGTTTCGTTGGATTGGTGCACGAACGTTTTATAAATCAAGGTGGAGAAGCAGAGGATGCTGGCCTTGTGGACTTGCGGCGACACGACGTTGCCCAATTTCAGCAGGTCTTCCATCTCCAAGAGCAGTCTCTCGGACGGCACCTTAACGTGCATCGGCAGTTTCGTCAGCATCGCCATGGCGGTATTATCGGTCACCTTGTGCTTGCGGACGACGTTTCGCGTGAAGTGGCAGGCGGCGGTGGTGCCCACAGTCGGGATCATTTGCAAGAAGATGTTCCTTTGAAATCATAACGAATCGTTAATTCAACTTGGCCAACGTTAATAGTCGACTTTGTCGGTTTACGGAACGATCGCACTCACTTCATCGTGATTTCCTTAGGTGTCTTCGGGTCTTGAATGGCGTTGAAGACCTGCTCCAACGAACCCAGATCCATGTAGCTCATGGTGTGCTGCAGTCGGTTGATAGTTTGCCCATGCTTCCAGTCGGGCTCTTTGGCCTCCAAGTGGTTCTCGTCGAGGTAATCGGCAGCTTCGGCCAATATCTTCTTGAGTTTCGGGATGAGCACGTCCAATTTGACGATGTGCCGGCCGTGAGTGAGATCCTCCGCGGCATGGATAGCGTAATTTCCCACGGGCTTGTTGAAGGTGATGTCGCGCACCAGAGGCACGTTCTGGAAGTTCACGACTGGCAAATGGATCTCGGTCGACGGCACTACGTTGTCCAAGCTCAAGGTAGTGCTAAAGTAAAGAAGTGAACAGGATAGCATCACGGTATGAAATCTGTGCAAGCATCTGTGAAATCTTATGGAGTATACGATCATCATCGAGGTCATACTTGGTCATGAGATAGTGAGCTTCAGATCGAGCGTTGTAGGGGAAGTAACTGATGACCGAGTGGGCGACCATGTTCCTGATGAAAATTCCATTCTCATGTGATTCGATCTCGAAGACTCTTTTGGCGGAGGTGGTCATGTCGTCCTATCGATAAGCAAAGTACTGTTGATCGAGAGATACGATTCGAGCGCGGAAAGATATAAAACGTGAAACACGAGAAGCCTAATCTCGAGATGGCGCGATCGAAATTTACCACCGACTCCACGTGACATTTCTCGCAATCGGTGAGATCGAAGACGCGCTGGACGAAGTGGCTACAGTTCTTGACATCGTGCAGCTTCGTGACGACGAAGACGTTGCTGGTCTCCGACCGCTCCGGGACTTTCGGCTGAACGTTGTAGGCGACGTGGCAGGTGCCATGGATGGTGTTCTAGTGGTAACAACCAAAGAGAACATTAGAAATGTTTCGTTGGATGTTCCCATCAGTCGTTACCTACCTCAGTCTTGACGAAAGCGTGCGACGACTTTATCGGGGTCGGCAGGTGGGACAGGTCTAGCTGCATCATCGAGGCGATACCCTGCTTGATGTTCCGCGACCAACCGCTCTCGGTTTCCGACACTTTGATGCCCACGAACTGAATTGAATCGACGATCAAATGACAAATATTCCTCGCGCAAGCGATTCTTAGTTCTCGTGATCTGGTTCATCGTGTCTTTACCTTGCCGGTCTCGTCGTAGACGATCAAGAACGGCTCTTGGATCTGTTGCGCGGCTTCCCCGAGCTCGCGAACCATCTCGACCGGTTGATGACGCACGACCCCATTGTGCATGCCGTATTTCACGTCTTGAAATTTGACGTAGTAGGCATGATTCAAAGTCGGGTCGCTGACGTCCTTCTTTACGTGAAGCTGTCCGCTGAGAGCGAATTGCGAGTTGTATTGTGCCGGCTCGATAAGCCCGGCTTTCACGTAGGCATAGTAGTTGTAAATCACCGTTTTTTCAACGGGGTAGTGCACTGGAACGGAAGATTTTCGCGTGTGACGACCGACAGACTGATCTGAACCCCGCGGAGTAATATTTACGTTTATGCTCCTCGATATGTTAATTATTTATCAATCACGGCAAACGGCATTCCGTCGATTGCCACACGGAGACAAATATTTCGTTGGCACAGCAACATTTGTCAGTTATTATAGTAGCGACTAAAAAATTTATTACATGGAAAAAATTATCTTGCTGTTGAGGCCAAACGTCGTTACGACAGTGATAAAGCTTATCATAACATAATTAAAATTTTAGTATAATCAATTTATTTTGTTGTCCGTATATCCAGCAAATAGCAATTAATATTCTTAACAAATCTTTTTGCCGTCCACGTAATAACTGATGAATTTACCGTGCCGGTAAAAAGTGGTTCTCCGTAAAAGTATTACGAATCGCGCGGGATGTCAGCTGAATTTATACATTCGATTGATTTCAAGAACTTTATATTCTGTCACATTACCGCATTACATGCAATCACGCAACGGATGTCCGATCCGCGGCGCAGTAGATTGATGAGCAGAATTGATTAAAGGCCCCTTCAGAAAAACGATCTTAATATTTCCGGCCTTGACATACGCATTGATTTTCCGGAAGAGAGAGAAACGCGTCGCGTATAACATAAAGTGATAAAATAAAATCTCCCGATGCTTATAAATGACGTAGCTTCTAAGAGAAAGATTCGAGTGAAAAATCGAATAACAAAATCGCAAAATCCCTCCCGATGTTTCATAAAATTTAAACGAGACACAACTCACCCGGCACCGCATACACGGCCGTTAGGCACAGGAGCAACACTGAAAACATAATTTATATAATGCGTTAGGTAAAAATACGTAATACATATGTAAAAAAATTAAAAATGTAAAGAGTAAAATAAATAAAGCTGAGAAACTTGCGAGGAAACTCATTTTGACAGTCGGCTGTCAACGTTCGTAAGAGTACTCTCCGCGATCCTCTTTCTTTCCTGCGGAAAAAACCGAGAGAGAGAGAGAGAGAGAGAGCAAATTATTACACCGTTCGGCACGTTTCGCAAGAATTTTAAGATCGAGGATCAAGAAGAATCGCGAACGGGCACTTTCCGTCATCGGGAAGACCGGGTCCGAGTGACTTACCGTTAAGGGCATTCATCATAGCGTGACCCCTGAAGCAAGACTGGTGGCGTTCGCAAGCCACTGCGGCTTTTATAGGATGAAGCTCTCGTAATTGTCGTCAAAAGGCAAAAATGTAGACAAGAGCCCGATAACCCCGAAAAGCAAGTATGTTACACACCAGAGGAAGAGCGAAAGAGAGAGAGAGAGAGAGCGAGAGAGGGCGAGAGGGAGAGAGAAAGTAAGACTACTCGGTATAATCAAAAGAGATAACCCCTTTCGGGCATCGGGTGTCGACGCGACGCTGTCGCGCTTTTTAACGTTTACCAACGCACGCGCGCATTTTATTGAAAATAATTGTCCGTATCCGACGGAGCGCGTCGCTGGTACTGCGGAGGACAATCACGCGCGGGCGCTTCACCGCACCGTTCCTCCGCGCTGTTTCGTGGAAAAATTTCGCGTCTTTTCAACGATCCTTCGTGATTTGTCTCCTCAGGCGAGACACGCGTCCGTCTATTTTCCAAATCTTATCTGCGTTCGGCACGCACATACACCATGCATAGCCGCTCTCCGTGATTCATATGTACCGGAAGAGCTCGAGTGTCGAGCGTTCCTCAGATGCGACTGCGATCTGGAGAGCGTCGCATCGGCGATCATGAGATAATCACACGGGCCTGTACCGCCGGATGAGAGGCGTTTTGCAAAGAGAACGTCACTCGACTTCGCGAGGATACTGATGAGGCGTGAATAGCCCGGATGAAAGCGAAGAAGAGATTGCGAGAGAGAAAAGAAAGAGAGAATGAGAGGGAGAGACAGAATGGGAGAAAAGGGACGGAGAAAACGATGTTTATCAACGACGATGCGAATACATAAGCGAGCGTTTATTAATCTTAGACGTTGAGTTATTATTAGGAAAGAAACGTAATAGCAACGTCACATAGATGCGTAAAACAGGCGTTGAAACTGTCGCTGTTTGGTCGCCGGGCGAGAAGAGCGAGAAGATTCGCGGAAAGGCGTTGGATTTCGCGTCGCGGTGGATAATCGCGATCCGGTGAATTTTTCGTTTATCACCGGTTATCGGAGTACAAACACATCGTCCTGCAACTCGACATTCTTTGTTGCAGCCGGCTGCTTTCTTCACGTCTAAATAATACGGACGTGTGCGCGAACACGCACGGGGAGAAATCATTTTGCCGTTGCATCGGAACCGCGTCGTTGCTCCTGCATATTCGTCGTGGCAGCGGTAAAATTTAGTTGACACAACCGAATCAACGAATTATTCGTAATTAAAGCAGAAACAGTTTTCTCGCCAGAATAGAAGATATATTGCCTAGCGATTTTGTCTTTAGGACACGTTAATTTGCTGTCAGAACAAAATAGTGTTTTCCTACAGTTACCAATTGTTTTCCCGGTAAAATAATTCGTAGATTCAGCAAAATAATCCAGCGAAGAACGATTGGTATTTTTATGCAACTTAACAACCTTGTTTTCGGTGTCCATATAATAATTGACAGACTTTGTTGCAACAACATAAAATTTTCCGTGTCAGCAAATTATTTCTGTCCTCCGCGATAATCGCACGAACGAGTGCGAGCGCGAGGGTCAACAACTTTTCTTCTCGTGCGAGCGATCAAATAAATTGAATAATCATCGGCGAGGCTTGATAATGCGAGGAAAACCGAAAACCGAAAAACGATCGCGCGTGTTTACCGATGATTTCGCGCAATCGCGACGATTTTGCGCTGAAATTTATCTGTCGTTTCACGATGCGCTCTAGCCAGTCATCGTTGCGGAGAAAGGCAAAGAGATCGTGTCCTCAGATCCGGCGTAAAATGACACGGCGAAGGAGAAACGAGAAATAATCATGTTCGGTTGATGAAAAAGTTCGTTTCTTTAATTGGAATGCGCACTTTTTAATCAGAATGTATACATATATAACATTTATTTATTTAAAAATACGTTCAATCAATTAAATGTGCGCCGTTTTGTCCGACAACCTGTCATCTTTCCGGTAGTTCCGTGATCCTGCGCCCGTAAGTATTCCAGGATTTCCGAACGAAGAAAAGAACGGAACGAATTTTTTTGCATCAACTCAATGATCGGTCGATAAGAGCCGAACGCTAATTTGGCTGAGTGGGTGTGCGCACGGAGAAAAGTAACTTTACCGTTGTAGCGAAACTAAAATTCTGCTGAGTGAATTTGCCCTTAGGACACCTTAGGTATTTACCTAACATTTATCAATTTGTCCTTGCGGTAAAATAATTTGCAGATTCAGCAAAATAATCCGGCGATTAGCAAGTTATTACTAACAAATCGTTTTACTTATCACGATTGCTAATAACCGATAAGTTTCGTAGCGACAGCGTAAAATTTGCTACGGCAGCGAACAATTTTCTTCTCCGTGTGCTTTACAAATGAATAAAATGAGATAAAATTTGGCGAGTTCTTTGATGAAGAAAAGATTAAATCAAATTTCGAGGATCCTTTGATCAAAGTTAGCAGGCGACGCGGCGTCACGCCTCGTTACATTAATCCTCCTCGATCCACCTTTCTCCCTCAAGCTCATTCTTACCCGCCGTGCTACCGTTTACACAACGCGCGCGTATAATCGCGCCATTAGTGAATAAAAGCAATCGAAAGCGGCGCGATGATTCCGGCGCGGATGCTATTATTGTGATGCATGATTTACTGTTTTAATTACCCAGTGCTCGCGCACGGAGAGGTATCGGTATTCGCGCGATTAACAATATCGTCCACCGGGCGATTACAATGTAGATGGTCACACTTGCCGATTTGTTGCATCACACACGTAAGATTCCGCGCGGGACGCAGAATCGTGGCGGGTCTTCTCGCGTGACCGATCGGAATTAACGTTATCAGATCACGAAGCGCGCGACGTGTCGCGTTGACATCAAGATCGCAGTTCTGGCTAATAGTACCGGATGTTAGTTTCGCGCGCAACCGAGGCTACCCGACTGTAATGATACATCGCTGAGGCGAGTGTTGCAAACTGAAATACGTGCGTTATTTTCGACCGCGAGAATCACCTTTGATAAATTGAACGGGTATCGAGCGTTAACATTATAGGTCAGAGAACAAGTTATAACATGAAGACAAAACAACGACACACGCTCGTCGTGCTCGATTAAAAATTGATAATACATTTACGCGCGCGTACACACACATGCGCAAAGTCAATAATCCTGATTAGAGTTATTTCAGGTTTGGTTATTATTAAATGTCCCGGTATTTTGCCTAAAAATTTCAATGTGAACGCGAGTGGATAATTATGGTCCAGCGAAATGGCAATGCAAAGTTTTAAGTAACTTTTCATGGAGGCACGTACGGGTGAGGTGAGCGAAGTGCTCGGTCAAACGGGAGCGACTGTTTGCGGTTCCAATAACTGTCTGCATAATACATTCCGGATAGAGTTTCACGAAGAAAAGAAACTGAATATTTTGCACTGCTAAATAATCGAAACGTTTCGTATAAAAACTAATATTCCTCATTCATTTGTTACGTCGTAGTTTTTGTTGCCTAATCGATTTTTATCTTTAAAGAACCTTTTCAAAAAATATCTTAAGATCAGCCACAATTGTATAAGGAAATCAAGTAGCGCTTTTCCTTGTTTTCTTCTTTTCCTTCAGAGTGATACGTTCTCAGCGAAGGAGAAATTCGAGGAAGACAACAAGGAAAAAACATCGAAGAAAATAGTGAAGGGAAAGTCGATAACTTTTATTGTATCGACATACGATAAGTTAAATCTCGTTTAAAAAGTAATTCTTCAGCTTCTCCAGCGCTTGGCTGCGATGAGAGATCTTGTTCTTCTCCTCCTTCGGCAACTCCGCGTAGGTCTTGTCCATGTCCAACGGCTGGAAGCACGGGTCCCAGCCGAAGTCCCTGGGACCTCGTGGACTCACGATGTTGCCCTGGGTCCGACCTTGGAATAGGAGAACCGTAGCGTCAGCCTCGCCGGAGCAATAGGCGAACGTGCATACCGCCTCCGCCGATTTATCTTGCCATCCGTCCAACATTTTGTGAAGACCTTCGGGGCCCAATTTCTCGAGGAACCATTTGATGTACGGCCCCGGAAGACCCTTGAGCGCGTTGAAGCAGAGACATGTGTCCTCAATAATCACCGGACCCTTCACGATTTTCACTGCGGCTCGACATTTGTCCCGACATATGTTCTCTATTTCGCCCTGATATTCCGGTAGGTCAATCTTCCTGCTCGTGATCTGATGAGGAAAGTTCTTGCCCAATATGGCGATGAATTCCTCCAGCTTCTTCGCGTTACCCGTCACGAACACTATAGGCTTGGACATAATTTCCTGTCTCGCTCTTCCCTCTTTTCCTTTCCTTCTCTTTACCTGCAACAAAAAGGAAACGCTTTCTTTGACCCAGAATATGTCAAAGGTGACGTATATCGTTTCATCGCGCAAACTTGCCGGTCAGTCTGCGTAACTGGGAAAACTCGTTTTCACGCGACCGATAGATGTAACTGCGATGTTAGCTTATCACAAAGATAATAAAAATAATTAACACCCTCGTGCTCTTTGTAACTCGAAGTGTGAAAAATTATTCTGTAATTGGGAAGTCCATGATAAGAAGAGGATTTATTTATTATAATATTGTTATGTCGGGCCGCGGCTCTCCAAACAACACATATGTCACAAAACGCCTCAAAGACATCTTTTAGATGTCTTATCGTCTAAAAGATGTCTTTACGACGTCTCAAAGCGTCTTAAATATCTTAAATATCTTAAATAGATAACTATTCTTAATTTATTAATCTCTGGCAGCGAAGACACGCGATTAAATGTCATGATATTATAAAAAGTTAACGTTTTCATTCTACTGGCTGTATTGAGCCCGTAAATCAATTCGTTGCTTCCTTTTCGCAAAATTAAAAAAATGTCAAGTATGTATGTTGCGTGTATAGACGTTACTTTCAGTATTTTTAAAAACCAAGTCTACTAATCTTTAATTTTAATTCCGCTCATTTTTATCGTCATATTTATATTTGTATTCAGCGCATCAGAATGACCAAAAAGGTATCCGTTTCTATTTCCAGAATATTTTCCGTGTTACCTAATATGCAATAAATAACATGCATTTTCCTTGTACCTATTTCTTCAGTTTCGCGCATTTTTAGTTACCGTCAAGTTGGCAACATTCGGGTTATCATCACTTGAGAAAGTCGTACTTGTGTGTTTGTGTGTTGGAAGCGTGACGAATAGCGCGAAATAGAGGGCTCTTCTTGTCCGCCTCAGTCAATAGCAAAGAACAGAGTGGTCTAGTAGCGACGCACACAGTGGATTCCGATATGATTAGATTTCTGTTGTGATATATTGTGTTTCGTAAGAATGAAAACATGAGATTTTCCGAATAACAGAATATTATCAGATATACCTTTGATACTCGTTAACAATGTAATAACCCTTGCGAATAAATTGCACTAAAACTCGCGAATGCTCCTAACCAACAAAACTCCTAATCACTCCTAACCAACAAAATTGAAACGACAATGCCGACAACATTGATTCTTAGTCATGATTGCCAATTTCACTCTGCTAAATCGGAATAGCTATATTTGTTACATTTACTAGAGACCTATTTACTAGGGAACGACAGTAGCGACTTACGGTAGAAATTTTGTAACTACACTCTGACATATTATTCTAGGCTGCGTTCGGAAACGTCACACTGAGGATTGAGTACCTTTTAATTGATCGATCAGGACAAAAAACTAAAATTTTTTTACCACGATTAGTTAATTTTCCCTAAGAGTTGCAACTGCAAAACTCAAAACTGATAATTGTTAATCAATCATTACGTCGACTTATGAGTTCTTGAATTGTTGTTGGCGATACTTAGATCGGTGTTCATAGTCAAATCTTACATTTAAGACCGTCTTGAGTTTATCTTCAGATGCTCTACGGTCCATTTCATTGGCTACACAACATCTGAAGATATATTTAAGACGGTCTTATTATAAGATCTGACTATAAATATTGGCTTCAAGTTTAATCGACCAATTAGCTTAAGTGGAGTTAGTGAGACCGGCTCAGATTGGCTCATCTCTCTCTAGAGGGCCTTTAAATTTGGTACATACACATGCCGTTCTTATCATCTTCGAATAACCGCGATTAGTTGCGGTGCTTCGCGCAGAGGTTCATCGTCGTGTGTCGTTCAAGTCCATTTGAGTTTACCCAAAAATGCCGAGTCAAGAAGTCGTGACAACGAAAGTTGTGGTGCACCCGCTGGTGCTGTTGAGTGTGGTGGACCATTTTAATCGTATGGGAAAAATCGGAAACCAAAAAAGAGTGGTTGGTGTCCTTTTGGGCTGTTGGCGGGCTAAGGGTATCTTGGATGTGTCAAACAGCTTTGCAGGTTAGGACTCATTTACAAAGAAACCCGAATGTTTTTTTTCCGAAAAACGTTTGCAACGTTTATAATAATGTTAAGCTCGTGGCGCTGAAAAGGTAAACCTTGATGTTTCAGTACCTTTCGACGAGGATGACAAGGATAAGAGTGTGTGGTTCTTGGACCATGATTACCTCGAAAACATGTATGGAATGTTCAAGAAAGTTAATGGTAAACATTTGCGGACAATTAGTGCGCAAGTTCTACAAGATGGAGTGAAAATTTTAATCGTTATACTTTGTTGCCTCCTTAGCTCGTGAGAAGGTAGTGGGTTGGTATCATACCGGGCCCAAATTACATCAAAATGATGTTGCCATTAATGAACTGATAAGAAGATACTGTCCCAATTCAGTTCTGGTCATCATTGATGCCAAACCAAAGGACCTTGGTCTTCCTACAGAGGCATATCAAGCAGTTGAAGAAGTACATGATGTGAGTTCATATATACATTACTTAAAATGTGTACCACAAAGGCATATATATACATAATTCGTACGATAAAAATTTTACGTACACAGGATGGCTCCCCAACCTCCAAAACTTTTGAGCATATTCCTAGTGAAATTGGAGCCGAGGAAGCCGAAGAAGTCGGAGTAGAGCATTTACTGAGAGATATCAAAGATACCACAGTTGGTACATTAAGTCAAAGAATCACGAACCAGCTGCTCGGTTTGAAAGGTCTTCACGAGCAGATCCGGGAAATTAGAGATTACCTGCTTCAGGTAGACGTCTCTTACTGTGCTTTACACCGTAGCTGCTTCAGTTCTTCGTTAATTGCGGATCGCTAAAACGAACTTATTTCTTGACAGGTTGGCAGCGGCAAGTTACCGATAAATCATCAAATCGTTTATCAGCTTCAGGATATATTTAATTTGCTGCCGGATATGACCCAAAGCACCTTTGTCGATTCGCTATATGTAAAAACGAACGATCAAATGTTAGTTGTATATCTAGCAGCTCTCGTTAGGTCCATAGTGGCGTTACACAATTTAATTAACAATAAGTTGACCAATCGCGACGCTGAGAAGAAGGAGACGGATAAGAAGGAAACGAAGAAGGAAGAGAAGAAGGAAGAGGAGAAGAAAGAGGAGAAGGCGAAAACCAAGAGCCAGTGATCGGAGTACCTCTGAACCCGCTTAATTGCGCGATTGATCGAGACTGTTAAAGTTGAGAACGTATTATTGAATCCGCGTGTAATAGTCGAGCCTGTCTACGATTTGTAAATTAAATACAGAAGATCTTTTGTAGATTAAATACAGAAAATCGTACTCCATTTATAAACAACGATACTTGAAGTATGTATCACGTTCAATTGCAAACTGGCTCCCAAACTGATTCCGAGAATCCGTGAGGATATCTTCGATTAGACGCGAAAGGGAAATCGAAAAACGATAGATTCGGTATAAATTGAGTCCTTTGAGTGTGATAAGTGGTAATACATGTATCGCGTGAGAGATTTAGGATTAAGACATTTTTACAGACCATCATTGTAACTATTACAATATTTTCAGCGTTTTAATTGTAACAATCCGTTATATATATATATATATATATATATATATAA